TGTATAATAGCGCCCAATGAAAATGAAATACACTACCGTGACCATTCCTATAAATTGCGCTCTCTCGTGACGAACTACATTTCAGTGACGTCAAAATTACGTAAGTGAGTGAAGGCAATGTCATTCAATTCGACAACCCTGTGTAGTTGTTTAGTTGTGTCGTTATCTTGAATATAGTAAAATTACCAAAAGATACCGGTGCTTTGGACGGCTTTCATGTCAACCATTTACGTCACAGAAGTGCTTGGTCACTAGAGGGCGCGACTTATAGGAAAGGTTTGGCTGGTTCCCGCCTCAAGTGTCATTGGCTGTTTCCCATCTCAAGTGTCATTGGCTGGTTCCCGCCTCAAGTGCCATTGGCTGGTTCCCGCCTCAAGTGTCATGGCGTACCTCCACAACTAATAAATGTGTGTGAGGGCGTACCAAGCCACAAGAGGCCGGTAACTAGTAATGATTACATCATTCTGATTGGTCCATCACATTCTCATTGCTTGTTCTATTTCCCTTGGTTACCTTACGTCAGCGCTTACGCTCGTGGCCGCTCAGGGGTTTCCTTTTACTTTCGAAAGGTCTATTCGTCTTCTGTAATACCTGGATATAGCCGGAGACTATGGCGTGCATGCCTTGCTCGATATTCAATTCATAACCTAGAAATGCGAAAGGAGATTAGTTCCCTTCTTAATTTTGATTTCATGAATATTTTTATTGGTTCGGATGAGATTTGCATAAACATAATTATCATATTTACGTGTAGAATGACTGATGAATATTAATTCCAATGCACTACTCCCTGTAACCGATACAGAGATTACTGTCACATTTCACGGACAGGGACTACGACATTGCCACATATGTATCCATACTATTCAATCATATGCTTCAACTCCAAGCGTTTAAATGAAATCGACGGACCACTTGAGTCTAGAGGGCACTGACTCCATAACGAGCATTCAAAACAGTTGATAACTAGCAACATTTTATTTTATGTTGCTGTTTTTTTTATTTGTATAGAATGAAAATCTTGTTTTTAATGATGAGGTCCGGTCTAATGTCACTATTTTCAAACTTGTATTTCACAAAGACGATGACTATTTACTTTTACACATGTTATAACCCTAAACACACTTGTTTTCCCTGGATTTTTGCATTTTTACGTGTCACTCAGAATAAACGTACGAAAACTAGACAATATTTACCGTCTATTTAACAGGGTGGACGTTTCGGTCGCGAATTTTAATGGCGGTCGTTTCGGTTGCGGTTTTTAATGGCGGACGTTTCGATCCCGGACGTTTTGAGCGTTATTAATATTAACAATTGAAAGGGTCGCCGAGGGACTGTTTAGGTTTAGGACATCGGAATAAACTGGCAAAACTTAAGTTGTATGTATGTATTTATCTAATTAATTTCGTGATACAAGTAGATTATTGTATGGTTAATATTCTATATAACTGCGTTCGTGAATGGGAGGATACCAAGCTTTAATTTGATAATTTCTTTGGTGATTAGAAGGAGTCACGGGCGATAATCCGTACAAGTGGCGCCCGGGTCAAAACTCGTGATTTCATTAGTCAAGCGCATTGGATTGTGGGAGAATCATTATCAGGGGCGGATCTAGGATTCTGGAATAGGGGGCCGATAAGTTGGCTAGTTCGCGTGCGCCGATCACGCGAAGCCCTTGCGGGGGGGGGGGGTTAAAATAGGGGGCCGCGGCCCTCGGCCCCTCTAAATCCGCCTTTGATTATTTATCAACACAAATGTCGCACATGCGCGGCACGACGACCACCGCAATGCCCATTCTGAGATGTATTCAGTGCTAGTTTTGTTATTTTTCTAAAATAAAATAATGTAATGTGTGATGTATTGTATAACCTATATAATTATTATTTAGTTTCTGTAGACTTTAAATACATCTGGTATGGAAGTGTAATGAACAATCATGTCATATTTATCGATTTTGAAATGTTGTATTTTGCATGGTATTTAAAATAGACCTACACAACATAAAATTGAAAATCTTGCAATTTTTTATGTAACATTCCAACTAATAATTATTTTAAATTGTATTAATTTATACAAAAAAGGAAATGTTTAGCAGTCAAATGTATGTATGAGACATAATGTGTCTGAGATTCAAGGAGATAATTTAAGATTCTACGAATAAATTACCACACGTTAGGATTTCCTCTGATTTGGTCATTTATCTCCCAAACAAATCTGGAATGCTTTGTTATTGGTGTAATATCTGAGACGCCTTTGTGAACGAATTGGATTAAACGGTTGATGTACACTGTGCCAACTTAAGAAAGTATAAAGTGAACAATTTGCATAAAAGTTATTTCTGTGCTTCTAGTAATACTCACTATGGAAATCTTAATTTGCTAGTAGTTAGTATGATACAGTAGTTAGCTTGGGGCATTTAACATTTCAATCAAGTAGAAAACCTAGCTGAATAAATATTTGATATTAAAACATTAAACATTAAATATGAAGTTAAAATATGTTCACTGTTTACTAAGTCAGATGGCCATATTGTATCATTGTTCACAAACAAGCGTCTACCCATGAACCTTTGCGTTTTAGTGTGTGTTGTTAGCGTCGCTTGGGACCCAATTCCCGCTGTTATTGTTGTGTGGCTAATCCTATACAAACTCAAACAAAGTAGACAAACAAAGTAGCCTGTAGGATGGAAATGGGTCGGCAACCCCTTATCTTCAAAATATACTGCCAAGCAGTTAAGTATTACAAACATCTAATAACTCTTGACTACAACAACTTGGCATACGATGCACTGAAAGAAATGAAGAAAAATAATTACCCGGGTCATGGTTGAAGTCATTAGAAGACAACTTAAAAATATACACTAAATGTAATCAGAGAATATTACACTAACACATGGAACAATGACAATAAAAGAGACGACGCAAAACTGCGCACTTACATAAAAAACCACACTAGACACGGAACATTACCTAAAACACATAGATAAGACATTACATCAAAATACTAGCACAATTTAGAACAAGTAGTAACAAACCTGATAAAAGACAGATTATGCACCCACTGCCAGAGATAGAGGATGAATTACATCATTTACTAGAATGTAAACTGAACACAGAACACAGAGATGACATATATAATATTCTTAAAGAAATTAACAGTGATTACCAAAACTTAAACAAAAAAGAACAATTTAAACTTGTTCTACAGTCACCAAATTCAAACCATCTTATCATTCTCTGCAAATATTTAGTTAAATATAAACAAGACTAATTCTTTTATTTTGTCATTTATTTTTCTTTTATATTTTATACATATTCTGTGCTGCATACAGATATACTTACATATCACAGTATTTTTTATATTTCTTATATTATTAATAATAGTCTAGTATTTTTGTCGTTCATCAATTTTGAGTTCTTTTTTAAATAAATTTTTACATTTCATGTACTTTTATTATTTACTTTATTAATCTGAAAACCTAAAAAGAAATGTTAACTTTTTCTTTACGGTATTGATAAAGCATTATTCTATTCTATTCTATTCTATTCTATTCTATTCTATTCTATTCTATTCTATTCTATTCTATTCTATTCTGTTTACACATGTATACTGGTTGATATTATTCCACGTTTTACACAATTTTATCATTTGTAAATATAACTGTCGGTCAGATTTTGTACAATAGCACAAATGTGTGAACTCTCCTTGAAACAGAAGCTAGCCAAAATTGGTCACGAACCTGGTTCTCATTCTTAAATGCTAGCCGCTATGTTCTTGGTGGGTTTATAATCGCAACCAGCAAGTTCAACGAGAGTGTGAGAATGTGTTAATATAAACGCTAGAGTGTAATGCCCTTGAAAGTTCATTTCGTGATGAGCATGGTCATTAACATAATGTAACACTAGGCAGACTCTCATCCGATTCGCCTACTCGGTTGTAAACAATATTGACACGTGACCCTATTGATGGATGGGATTAGCATCTTTGACAGCAAATCACCGCACTCAGGCTGCAAACTAACGGTGCATTCTCTTCCCGTGGAGCTAAAAAAAGATCCCCATGATCTTTTCTAGCTTTTTCATCTGGTCTCGGCATCTATTGGTGTATGGCATGCATGTACATGGGGAAAACAGAGAACTATCGAAGAGTTTTCGATGGCAAATCGTATGATGAGTTCAATTCCAGTGGCTTGTGACCGCCAGTTGTATGTCAGCAATAACATCACACCAGCAGAAAATTATTATATATATTGTTTGGAATCTCTTGTGCCTTTGTCATGATCCTACCCGTCAAGTTGTTCATGCTAATGAATGAATGAATGAATGAATGAATGAATGAATGAATGAATGTGACCTAGTAACTAGCAACATGTTTAATCAACTTGAAACATCACAATTTGAATGAAGAGTTGTGAACCAAATAAACTTTGATAAAGATCACTGATAATTATAATCTAGTTTAAATTCTTTATTAAAAATCACATAAGTTATTCCCCTCCCTGTGCTCACACCAATTTACCATATTTAGGTGTGGAGTGATAATATTTATTTATTCAACACTAAAACGAACTACGGTGAGTTGTTATATGGTCATATAACAATAAAAATAAAATAGAATAAGATAAACTAAACTACACCAAGATACAATAAAGTTAATCAAATACACAGATCTACAAATGTCCATGTTGTGATCAGCTACAGTTCATCCATCAGCGGGCCGTGAATACGCATAATTACATACACTTCACTGTTGTGCTGCCGTGGCTAGTAGATACATCTAGGATGTTAAAATCGTGTATAGCAAAATAACAGTCACCGCGCTTTACGTAAGAGCGGAGTGTCCTTGAAAGTTCTTTCGGAGAGGGGGCATGTTAGAGGGTGTCATTAGCATAATATATTAAACTCACTTTCGATTGGCTGGTTACTTTCAATCTCATGGTAGTAAACAATATTGACACGTGACTATATTGATGGTTCAGTGTGTGTGTATGTTTTAAAGTGCCTTGCACAGCAAAGCACCACATTGTCAATTAACGGTGCATCCTCTCCCAATCATGACTGCATCACCAGATGTACCTGGCTTCTCCATCGCCGACTATGTTATTTTCGGGCTGTTACTTCTGGTCTCGGCGTCTATTGGTATATGGCATGCATGTACAGGAGGAAAACAGAGAACTACGGGAGAGTTTCTGATGGCAAATCGTATGATGGGTCCAATTCCAGTGGCTTGTTCTCTGACCGCCAGTTTTATGTCAGCGATCACCATTCTTGGCACACCAGCAGAGCATTACATTCACGGTTGCATGTACTCCTTGTTTGGAATCACTTACGCCCTTGTCATGATCTTGTCTGCAGAGTTGTTCATGCCAATATTCTACAAGTTAAAAGTGACCAGCGCTTATGAGGTAATATTATTAATAATTGTTCAATACTCCTCAACCACTTTAGTATGTTTATGTAGAGACCTTAGAACTCACGTTATTAGAATGAACATTCTAAGGTCTTTGGTTCATGGTGCCATTGGCTGTGTGTCCATTCTGTGAATTTGTATTCAAGTTGTATAAGGTGTTTCTTTGTGGACGTCAATTTAATTTGCATATGAAACCGGGCCATAACAAGCTCAAACCATGGCGGTGGAGATTGTTTTCAAAACTTTCTTTTGACTAGTAAACAGGACAGGCCTTGACTAACTGGGTGTGACGCGACCTTTGAAAATTTAATAACACGAATATTCATCATTAAAAGGGAAAGTGGGCTAGGAATGTAATAAGAACAGTCGGAAACAGCGAGTGCACTGGGACACCGTCAGTCTATCACCGGGAGCGCACCGTAAAATCACGGAACGCCGTTGTCAATTACTGAGCAGAGTTACTGTTTAATACCCCGGGTAGTAACTATGGTGATATGAAAACTACGTCTTTTTTTGTTACATCTCCGCGTCCCTATTGTAATGCCGATTGCATTTTGTGGATAAATAAATAAATATATAGATAGATAGATATACACATTTTATTTGACAATATGAATTATGTATCAAACTTTTAAATACCCGTATCTTTTGTATGTCTTTCACCATGAACACATTGCTATAAAACTACATATTACTAAAGTAGTCTTTAGTAGTCTGAGATAAAACGTAGCAGTCACGTGATGACTAAATGTCACCATAACCTGATTACGTCAAAGCGGAACATAAATCGACCATGAGTCCTTTTGCGTAGACCGTATTTAATATTTGTCCGGGCGTTGTTTTTTTACGAAGAGTAATACTTTTGGGCGAGTACTGTCTCAAAATCCATTCGGACGATCTTTTGGTGCACTTTTTTCATCACTATTTCAATCCATTATTACATAATTATTGCCTAAATATAATAGTTATGACAGAAAAAGAGGTATGTATTTACACATTGCAAATTCCTTTATCCAAATTCCTTTATTCCTTTATCGTCATGCAACGAAATCTTTTTACGGTCTATGGTGTTCTACAACCTAATGATAATACGATAATGCTGAAATTTACATTTTCATTGTCCGATTGCGTGGTTTCGTATTCGTTTACTCCTCTTTGTACGAATATTTAGAGGCAGTAAGCTGCAATATTGTATTGAGTGTCTAATAGTGTCAATCGTATAGACTATAAAATTAAAAACAAATATGAAACTGAAACACAAAAATGAAAACGAGAAACTTTGCTAATAGTAATTAACCACAATAAAAATGTAATACATAAATAGTAAGTCAGAACCCACATCAGAACCTACTTGCACCAAATTTACTCTCGCCAAAATCTATCCTCATTCATCGATCTGAAATTTGACTCAAAAACAAACCAAGCCCATACACCGACCCAAACACTATGATACGCATATTTTTTTGATGCTACATGTATTTACTGTTATGCTATTTACTGTTATGCTATTTACCATGTCATTGTGCACAAGAACGACAAAGAAAGATTTGAAGAATACTTTTCTTATTCCAAAACCCACGCTATCACCAATGATCTACCCTTGTCTGTTTCAAGCGAAAGTGTTCACTAGAACCCTTTTTTTAATTTGGTGATATAATTATTCTCACTAACCTCCCAAATACAAAGGATGTAAACTGCTTGTATTTTGCTGCACACAAGGATGACCTTTTGACCTCTGCTGGTTGTATACACACAGTGCTCCCTGTGTGGGAATCAACAAGGTCAATACACTTATAGCATGTGGTCGCTATATATGGTTGTTTATTCATAAATTCAAAAATTATTCAAAAAATAAGGCATTGACAATGAAACAAAATGAAAAAGTTCTATTATCTTACTATGTGACCTAGTTATTAAGCTTGGTCTAGGGTCTATGAAAAGATTTACCCATCATGCAATGGACCCTGGGAGCTAGCTTTTCATGGTAGCATCTGCAAACACAAGAGTCCTTATATTTCTAATCGCTTAATATTCATTTAAAAAATGAATACATTAATGTACAAAAAGTACATAAAAATAAAGCTGAGGTTAAGCCCTTCAAAAAATATAACTATCTGGAGCAATCCTAAAACATCAGTTTTACTAATCACACAATAAATCCTGGAGCTGGTTTTTCATGCAGCTTTTATTCATCATGGTAACATCTGCAATTGCAACACAACAATTCTTATTTTTTACTCACTTAACATCCATTAAAATGAAAGAAAATAGATACAATGCACACAAAAAACCAAGAAAATCAAAGAAAGCTTAGAAAGAACTCCCATGTGCTGAGAGTATTGGAGACACATTAAATATAATTCAAAATTACTTTCAGAGATAGCGATAGTGATGGAAAAGCCGAAAACTAATAATGCAAATCAGAAAATTAATATGAACAGATTTTAATGGAAAACTAATGAGGTCTGCACAAAGTAACAAACCATCTATGTACCAAGTTTTATTGAAATGTGATTGGAACCAAAACAAATTATAAATTATTATGCTAATTAGGGAATTAATATAAACAGATTTTAACCCCAAACTAATCAGGTTTGTACATTGTCCTAGAGCATCTTTGCACTGAGTTTCATTGAAATGGAATAATTAGTACTTTAGATATCAGTGTGATAGCTTAAAAGTGGTTAATTATGTAAATTAGTAATTAATATGTACAGATTTTAACCCACAATTGTCTATTGTCCTACAGCATCCATGTAAAAAGTTTCATTGAAATGTGATGATTAGTACTTGAGAAACCAGAGTGAAAATTAATTAATTATGCAAATTAGGTAATTAATATACACAATTATTTATCCCAAAACAATCAA